GCAACAGGAAGAGCACTGTCTCTGCCATTGGCCGGCACTGCGGCATTGAAATCAGCAGCCACGGCCAAGAGGGGTCATTATAGGAAGGAAGGGTCAGCTCCTCACTTCCTTTCGCAGGCAGGGCGTGGGCAGAAAAGCAAGGAAGATACAAAGTAAGCCTGCAGCGAGGCTTGGATTCAGAAAGCTAGAGTGTAGTTAAAGAATAGTGACAAAACCGGTAAGGATGCAGAAGCCAGCTTGTATCCACCGGCCAGAGAATTTGAGCATCACTTTGAGGCTTCTTTCATTTTCTTTCATTCTCTCTGTCTCTGTCTCTCTGCCTCTCCCCACCTCCCGCTCCCCGGCCCCCAGACATGATCTCATGTCTCCCAGGCTGGGTTGAATTTGCTGTATAACCAAAACTTTGAACTTCTGATCCTCCTGCCTCCACTTCTCAAGCTCCGGGGCTAGCTAGCTACTACACTGCCTGCACCATCGAGCCTGATTGATTCAGTGCTGCGTATGGGACCCAGGGCCCCTAGCTGCCAGGCAAGCTTTGTACCAACCTAGATACACCCCAGCCCGAGCATTAATGTTAAAAGCAACAGATTGTAACAGACTGATGCTCCCCAAATAAAATAAGAACAGCTGGGTCCATCTAAGTATACACACATGGAAAGTTATTTTTAAAAGTCTTTCCTTTTTTGTTACTTTGCTGTGTATTTATGGTTGTTGTGTTCTCTCTGTGTACCACATGCGTGCCTGGTGCCTTGGAAGTCAGAAGAGGACCGCTGATCCCCTGGAACTGGAAATACAGTTGTGAGCCGACCCTCACGAAAACTTCCAACTGAATTCAGACCCTCTGGAAAAACAGGGAGTGGGCCTGGAAGATGGCTCAGTGGTTAAGGTCACTGGCAGCTCTTGCGGAGGTCCTAAGTTTGGTTCCCAGCAACCTCATGGTAGCTCCCAACTACCAGTAACCAAGGGTGGTGGCATACACCTTTATTTCTAGCACTCAGGAGGAAGAGGAAGGTTGATCTCTGTGAGGTCGAAGCCACCCTGGTTTACATAGCCTGATCTACATGGCAAGTTCCAGTCCATCCAAGGCTACACAGTGAGATTGGCACTAAATAAACAAATATTAAAAACCTAACTACTTAAACCGGGCGGTGGTAGTGTACACCTTTAATCTCAGCACTCAAGAGGCAGAGGAGGATCGATCTCTGAGTTCAAAGCCAGCCTGGTCTACAGAGTGAGTGCCAGGACAGCCAGGGCTACACAGAGAAACCATGTCTTAATAAATAAATAAATAAATAACCTTTATGAGTGCAATAATAATGCACTCCTTGGTTCCTTTAGGCACCCACACAGGTACACACACCTAAAAAGAAATTTTTAAATATTTTAAATGTAATTGTTTATGCAACGTGGGAAGCAGTGTGAATCTAGCCCTGTGGACACACTTCCTTTCTCAAATTCCAAAGACACCGGGCTGGGGACAGGGCTCAGCAGCTGAGCATCTGCCTAGGACCTTCCAGGCCCTGGCTTATTACATCACATCACTGCAAAAGTCACACAAAAAGAGGGTAGGAAGGGACTGGAGAGATGGCTTAGCAGTTAAGAGCACTTGCTCTTGTAGAGGACCCGAGTTCAGTTTCCAGCACCCACATGCCAGCTCACAACCATCTGTAACTCACATAAAACAATAAATACATATATGCCTTTAAAATTAAGTAAAAATAAGCCAGGTGGTGGTCACCCACGCCTTTAATCCCAGCACTCGGGAGGCAGAGGCAGGCGGATCTCTGTGAGTTCAAGGCCAGCCTGGTCTCCAGAGCGAGTGCTAGGATAGGCTCCAAAGCTACACAGAGAAACCCTGTCTCGAAAAACCAAAGAAGAAG